GCACTGAGCAAGTGTGGAAGACGTGCTCTGCCCAGCTTGGGTGCCTTGGACATCTCCAGAGAGAGAGGGGTGATTTGGGGCTACTGGTACATCCTTGGTGGGAGCACACAGGAATTGCAGGGATGGGGCTGAGCTGGAAAACAAGGCCAACACTGCAGACCTGGCAGTCACCCCACAGACCCGTTAGCCATCTCCACTGCTCATTCTACCTGTTTGGGAGCTGTTCAGGGAAAAATACAGTTAAACCCCAAAGAGGAGGATTGCAGCCTGCCCAGCCATCCAGGAGTGGGAATCAGAGCAGGATGTAATAATGCAAGATAAAGCCATATACTCCATTCAGAAAGACTAGCACCCGGGCTGCAGGGTGTGAGTGCAGGACCCACGGGGCTCAGTGAGGTTCATACCGGGCTCTGGCTGTTGGGTTTCCCCTCGGGTGATCTCTGAGTGCCAGAGTGGAAGGTTTTCAAGAAAAATACCAGCAAAACGCTGCCTGTGCTGATTCGTTCATAAACAGGACTAGGAGCAGGGACTGGGGCAGATGGAGAGAACAGTGTGAGTCTGCTCGAGGGTTTGTGGAGCCGGGGAGTGTGGTGGTGCTGGAGGAGGCTCACAGCTCTATGAGAATGGGTATTATTGCAGAGTTTATTAGTGGATTTTTCAATGCACTGGAAGGAATTGGGTAAGCAGTTAGAAATGTTTTCCAGCCTGGGGAAATTCGTTACAGCTACTGTGTAATAGGGGCCCACCAGAATGACTCAGGAACACCATGCAGCCTTTCCCGGTGAATTCCTGCCTGCTGTTGAAATTTTTACTGGGTCAACAGGAGTTCCTTTCCCAGTTAGATCCTCTGAAATGAGACCAATTGGGTCAAGAAAACACAAGTGTGAGTACCGTGCTCATGCTGAGTGAAGACAGGTGCAGACAGTGCACCCATGCAAGCCTGGCACCCTTGTGCCAGTGTTGGTATCGTGTCCTGCTGTCCCACTGCCTGCATATGGGCACGTGGGCACATGTGCAAGGTCACAGGCATAGGTGATACACATGCATACGTGCATCCTCCTGCAGGCTTTTGCTGCCATGTGGGTCCCAGATGAATGATGTAAACACACATACACGCGAGTTTCTGTGCTAAGGCACATGGGGGACACGTGTCCCACGAATGCAGTCCTGCCCGGCCCCAGCAGGAGCCGGTGGCCACATGCTTCTTTGAAATGAGCCATTTGGAGTTGATTGTTTCCTCATTCCTTGACGTACTGGGCCACGTCGGCAGCACTTGGCTGCAGGGCCACGGCTGCACCCTGACACACGGACAAAGGAACTGCTGCTGCTTGCTGTGGGAGGTGGCAGAGAGAGCTGGTCATGAGCACAACCTGGGGCTCCCCAGCCTTGTCCAGCCGTGGTTCTGTGCTGCCTGGCACAGTCAGACTCACAGCAAACAGTGCTGTGCCCTGAGGCAGCCATTCCAGCACAGCTCTCAGCTCTTGTCTTCCTCCTACTCTTCTTCTTCCTTGGCTGCCTCTGGCTCTGCATCCCACCTTGCAGATCTCCTCCTTGTGGTGATGGTACCTGCTGCTGCCCCAGTTTATCCAGGCCGGAGATGGGGGCGATGAGCACTGCGTGGGCTGGGGCCAGGCACCCACAGTGCTGAGTGTGTGTGATGTGGTGGGCAGCACTAGAAGCCATGCCAGGGAGTGGTTGGGGGTGGGCTGAGGCTTCCTGCCTCAGTTTCCTCATGTGCCAAGTAGAGCTGTATCATATTTGCTGATATTGAAGAGAGCACTGAAAGGGCTCAGTTGAGAAAGGAGTGTTGAGTGAGAGCTGCTCAAGCACAGCAGAGGGTATAGGCTAGTGAGACCCAGCCTGGCACAGGGACAAGTTGTTTGGGCAATGGGGTCTGGTGACCTCCCAGTGCAGGGCCTGGGGACAGTGGCTGCATCTCGGGCTGCCCTGTGCATGGTCAGAATGGGGGGGCAAAGGGCCAGAGCCCGTACTCCCTTCCCTCTGTAACTGCATGATGGTCAGAGCCTGCAAGAGCAGCAGGATCTGCTGAGGGGCTGCAGGCCAACCTGGGGCTGGGGCAGGGAGACATCAGTCCCTGAGCTGCAGCTCCAGTGGAATGGGGAGTGCTGCGGAACAAATCCCAGCCGTAGCTGCCGGGAAAATAAGTCTGGCCTAGGCCGGGTGTCCGACTGACCTTGCCACGGCATGGGCTGAGCCTTCTCTGCTGCTCCATGCTCCAGCAGCTGGAAACATCTGGCTGCACAAGCTTACTAAATTGATGTGTGGAGGAATCCAGCGCTCTCCCGCTGTTCCCACACTTCAGCCTCTCGCAGTGGCTCCGGTTTCCACTCAGCTCTGGTATGCGGTGACTTGTGAGCTCCCTGTGTCACCACCTGGACAGCACTGTGGGGGCAGATGGTGGCACTTCAGTGCTAGCAGCAGGATGTGTGCCAGAAGTGGGTGAGCAGCTCTTCCAGTCCCAATTTGGCCCATTCCTGGGTGAGAGCTGCTGCTTTTCCTGGAGTCCAGAGTGACTGTCACCCAAAAACTGGGGTGATGTCATCTAGGCATGGATGGCGAATAGGGCAATGGATGAAGCTGGGGATGAGTCAGTGCCATTGTCCTGGAACTCCTGTCCCTGAGCCCTAGGATGCTGCTTATTGCCATTGGTGCCCCAGCAGCAGAGCAGTACAGGGGAGGTGGTGCCCCTGTGCCGGCCCCTCAGTCAGGGCAGCTGGGGACACGGCTCAGGCTCGCCCCACTGCTCCTTGCATGGCCATGGCTGTAGCAGCCCTGCTGGCAGCGGCGCCTGGGGAGGAGGCAGCGCCAGGCCCCGGTGCTGGCTCTGTGCCCAGGGGAATGGCTGCGGGTGGTCGTGGCAGAGGCAGAGGGGGTTTTGGGAGGGAGCCCAAAGAGGAGCACAGTGTGCCCGAGAGGAGCACACTGCAGGGGTGGCAGCCACTGCCGGCGCCAGGGGACAACAGTGACTCTTCATCCCATCCCACTCTGTCCCACCCCACACGCAGGGACATGGCACTGCTGGGGTGTGCGTGCCACCTGCTCTGGCTGTGGGAGCTGGGTCTGGGTGACAGCATCCACCGAATGGGTTCAGGGTGAAGGAGCTGAGGGTGCCAATTCCTTCCCTGCATGGAGACCTGCCTGAGGACACTGGTGGGTGTTGTGTTGCTGTTTCCTGAGGTTCAGGGAGCCCAAATCTCCCATTGCCCTACACATTGCAGTGTGACAGCCGGGGACTGGGCCACAGGTTCCTACTCTGCCATTTCAAACCTGAAAATCCTCAGCTCCATCCCTCTCCTGTACTGCCTGTGCATCCCCATCCTGTGGCTCTGGGCACCACTTGGAGCTTCTGTGCCTTTGATTAACTCCTCCACTGGTACAATGGATGAAGCTGGGGATGTGGGTCAGTGCCGTTGGAACATGCACTTGGAGCTTCTGTGCCTTTGATTAACTCCTTCAATCTTCACGATGGAGATTTAATAATGAGTTAATAATGACTTGTGTCCTGCTGAGCCAGGTTCTGGGAGCTGGACTGGGGTGATTGAACACATGCAGGGATGAGTGTCCTTATGCTCTAATGTGACTGGCCACATTCGGTGCCCTGTGGGCTCACCAGCCCTTTTACCTCATCTACAACTGACTTTAACCTGCTTGATTGAACCCGTCTCATCAGGGCTGTTCCTGCTTGTCACCCCTTTCCAGGCTCGTGTAAATCAGGGCTGCTTCACTGGTCTGAGGTGCTCCTGTCTGGGCTGGTGGGCAAGGGGAGCCTGGGGACGAGGCAGCATCACCCATGGGTGTTTCCTGAGACGTGGCCAGTGTGATGGGGACAAGGAACACACAAGGAGCCCTGCTTGAGCACTGGCATGTGGCTGTGCCTTTGTGGGGAGCTGCTGGGGTGTGTGCCAATGGTGTGCCCTGTCCTCATGTCCCTGCAGCTGCGGTGTGTGCTGTCAGCGTCCCTCATCCCTATGTCCCTGCAGTTCACACGATGCTGGTGCCGTTGCAAATACTGTGCTGGTTGCCACGTTACATTAGGAGGAGCCACATCCTATGTCCCTGACGCCTGCTGTCACTGCAGATCCGTGGCAGGCTGCAGCTGAAAGACCTGAAATCAGGGATCAAAGCCGCAGTGGCATGGCTGTTAGTGCCCGGGGTGCACGTGAATGGGACAGGGACAGGGCTGAAGCCATGGCCTCAAGCCCCCAGCACTGCTGGGGTTATGCCAGGAGTGACCCCCTTCCTTCGTTCTTACACATCCATGTAGGTGTCTCTGGAGCTGGGGTGTGCAGGTGTATGTTCATATTTGTGGATGTGCCTGCATGTATCTGCACACGTGCACAAGTGGTTCTGATGTGGGTAGATGCATCTGCATGTGTGCATTTTGGGGGGTGCATGGCTCTGTATGTGTGTACACACCCATGCCATGGGTGTGCACACTTGGAGAAGTCCAAACAGAACTCAGGGGTACTCAATTCTGGGCTATGCCTCTGGGGGCTCAGTCCCGCCAGCTGCTCTAGCCCCGCACAGAAGCAGCCACTCCTTCATGGGTGAGGCTCAGTGTCCACTCCCCAACATCCCCTTGGTCCCACTGACTTCACACCCAGTGATGCTGCTCCAGCACCCATGTTCCCAGGCTGGAGCACCCCTGGAGCCTGGGGGATGCAGGAGCAAGTTTGGGGACATTCTTCCAGGACTGCTGCTCCTGTCACCTGTGTGGGTCCTGTGTTCCACTTGGTCTCTGCCAGCTCATTCTTTCTGGACTGAATAACATCATCCCAGCTGCGTGCTTGGGAGTGGCATTTCAGGGTGGTGCAGCTCCAGCCTGGTGCCAGCCTCGCCCTGCCCCTTCCTGATGGGCAGAACCAGGGCTGTTGGGCATGGCCACTGGCAGGGGGATGCTCCATCCATCCATCCATCCATCCATCCATCCATCCATCCATCCATCCATCCTTTAAAGCCATCACCTTGTCTCTCCACAGACCCCGAGTCCCAGAGGAAGAGGACAGTGCAGAATGTACTGGACCTGCGTCAGAACCTGGAGGAGACCATGTCCAGCCTAAGGGGCTCTCAGGTGTCTCACAGGTGAGACCCCAGCACCGGACCCCCCCATTGGTGGGAGGGAATCGGCAGTGCTTTGTTGACCTGGGGACCCGGTGCATGGAGGCTTGGAGAGAAGCCTCCAAATCAATGGGGTGTTGTGTTGCTGTAGCAGAGTCCTGTCCCTAAAAGTGCTCTGGGACAGTAAAGACTGGGGAGTGGTGGCAGCGAAGGAAGCTGGCAGAGCAGAGAGAGGGGGTGAGTTTGTTCCCAGTGGTCAGGTGACCGTGAATGGACCATCAGAGGTGAGGATATCACCTGTACCGACCCCGGTTTGCACCAGAGGCTCCATCCCTATCTGTAACTTAGTTTCTCTGCTCTGTGTAGGGTGATGACAGAGGAACTCTCAGCTAGACCCCAGGAGCAGAGGTGGGGGTACCCTGGGGTGCCCTGCCCCGACCTGTGAGGGGATGGTGGGGATGAGGACAGAGTGAGCACTGAGTGGAGAACCAGAGCACAGTGACTGTGCTTAGGGGGCTCTGACACACGTCTGGGACTGCCTGTGTCCCCCTGGGTCACTCACTTGAGATCTTGCATGGTTTCTGTTTCACTCTGGGTTTGCCAAGGTTGTGTGGGTGTCAGCCGGTTGGGAAAGTGGGGATGTGGGAACGCTTCTCCTGGAGTGTGTTGCCACCTCGTGGTCTCCCTCGATCCTGTTTTTTGTCTTGGAAGGGACAAAAAGCAGCAGCTCCCTCCCACCTTTCACCAGCCATTCACCATTACAGACCTTCCTGTGTCACCTCTCAACCAGCCTTGCCCAGGATGAAGCAGCCCTTTGATCTCCCTCTTCATCACCTAGAACTTCTGAACCTTGCTCGCCCTTGCTGTGCTTCCTGGATGTTTTCTGAGCCAGGAGCAGCAGAGAGCTGTGGCAGTGGGGTTTGCATGGGGTCACAACAATATTGTCTGAGCTGGCCATTTCCTGAAATGATCCATTACAGCGCTGCCGTCCCTTTGCTCAGTTCAGGAGCTGGGTCAGAGCCCAGCACTGCTCATGCCAAACCAGGGCTGTGTTGGGTTCATTTTGCTTTCATCAGTATCAAACTCCACCCCCGCCTCACCCCAGTGCTCAGCTCCTTCGGAAATCCTCCTCAGCTCAGGTCTTAGGAAAATAGGACGAGGACATTAAGGGAGATTAAATTAGCATTGCTAGTGGGATTTGACTCTTCACTATCACTTCCTTTCCTTGATGAGCTGTGAGTACATCACATGGTGGATGCCTCAGCTGCATTTCTGCCATGGAGGAAAATGGCTATGGATAGCCCAGGGATCCCTACTCCTGTATTCTGTCCCTTTCAGCAGGACTTAAACATGTGAAGATCTTCCCTCTTGTCCCATGGCAGCTGAAGCTTTTTTTATTCCAGTAGCCCACAGCAACCTCAGCAGCTCCCTGCATCCCTCCAGGAACTCCTCTGCGACTGTGAGCCAGATTTTCCTTTCCCAAAGCTGTGTCAGCTCTTCCTTGGTATGTTGTAATTACACACGTACCCACTCATTCTGCTCTTGGGAACACTTCCTACAAGTCTGTCCAAAGCAGATGTCATCTGCAAGTCCTCTGGATGTGCCTACATCTCTGCTTTGGGCTCTCTCTTTATTCCTTCCACAAAGTATTCCTCAGATTTCTCTTGTTATTCTCACTGAATTCTTCCATCCAGTGGCTGAGGGCTCAGTCTTTGCTGTTGCCTTGTTAGGGCACAATGTTATTCCTGAAAGATGTCACCATGCTCCTAGCAGCAGGGCTGCATGAATTTCCTTGGGGCTTAGAATGGAATCACAGAGTCATGAGGAGACTCAGTGGGCACTTGGAGGACACTTGGAGAAAGTCTCTAAGATTATCAAGTCCAACCATTTCCCCAGCACTGCTGTGTTCACCACTACATCATGTTCCCAAGAGCCACATCCACATATTTTTTAAACACTTCCAAGGATGATGACTCCACCACTGCCCTGGGCAGCTGTGCCAGTGCCTGACCACCCTTTCAAGGAAGAAATTTTCTCTAATACCCAACCTCAACCTCCCCTGGCACAGCTGGAGGCTGTCTCGTCTTGTCCTGTCCCTTGTTTCCTGGGAGCAGAGCCCGACCCACCCGGCTGTCCCCTCCTGTCAGGGGGTTGTCAGAGCCAGAAGATCCCCCCTGAGCCTCCTTTTCTCCAGGCTGAGCCTCTCAGCTCCTTCAGTTGCTCCTGGTGCTCCAGACCCTTCCCCAGCTCTGTTGGTCTTCTCTGGACATGCTCCAGCCTCTCAATGTCTTTCTTGTCAAGAGGGGCCCAGAACTGAACCCAGGATTCGAGGTGAAGCTTCTGTTCCTCCTGCTCAGAGACACGGTTGGCATCTGCTCTGAGCTGCCGGCAGCACATCCTCAAACAGCCTTTGTGCTGCCGACAAAAAACCCTTTTAGCTGCCCCTTTCAGTTCCGCTGTAACAAACTTCCTAGTTTTTTTTAATGTAGTTCCCTGTTTTAGATTCAGTGCTGCAGCCCGAGTTTGGCTTTGGGTGCTCCTGCAGGAACGTTTAATCCAAGCTAGGGAATAATTTACTGATAGTAGTGTTTGGAGCCAATTTGAGGACTGTGGGTTCCCAAGGAGCTGCTCCAAGAAGTAATTGTTTCTCGTGGCTAAATTTAGTTTTAGAATCACTGTTCGCTCAAAATACACCCCAGGAGGTGCAGGGAGTGCTGGAAGTCCCCATTCCTGAAGCACTCGCGGGCTCTGGGCTGGCTGCAAGAGCACTGTGCTTGGGCAGCCCCTGGGGCTGGGCATCCCTCTCTTGGGGTCATCTTTCCTGCCCAGATGTGGGCGTTCAGTCTACAGGGGTTCAGTGTGAAGTGCTGCTGCAGGGACTGGTCCCAGGTCTGTCCCTCAGCATCCTTTCACTCACAGCCTCCACTCCCTGTCATGGCCCATTGTCACATTCCCTGGGATCAGTGCCACCATCCCAACTTGTCCTGTCCTGGGTGTGATCTTGAGGTGCAGGTGTTGAAGTGCTGGGGGAGAAGTAGCAGAAGCAGAACAGGGGAGCATGTCCAGGCTTTCCACTAAAGGTTCCCTATCAGGAGATTTCAGCACAGCTGGATTTTGGGGCTGTGGCCAGTCTCCAGAATAGTGCTGACCCCTCTCCCAGGTGTGTTTGCCACCAGTCCTGGTGGCACCCCCGGCCCTGCTCTGAGGTGGGTAGACAGGATGGTGGTAGAGTGTTGCGTTTGTAAATTGACTTGAGCACAGAGCCCCCATCACACCCCATGGGTATGCACTGTGGTGTGCATGTCCCAGCGGGTCCTGGACTGTGGGACACTGGGCTGGCACCAGGCAGGGAAGGAGGGGATTATCCCTTGCCAGCTGAGATGGAGGAGGTCCAGAACAGACAGCGTCACTGCAACCACAGTCCTGGGAGCCTCTGGCCTTGCCTGGCTGCCTCAAAATGAGCAGTTTTGTTATCTGAGCACTTGCAGACCCAGTTCCAGGGGTGAGGCAGGGCACAGATCTCCACTACCCCCTGTGCCCTGCCCTAACTCCCTGACTGCCTATCCTCGCAGCTCCCTTGAGATGACCTGCTATGACAGTGATGAAGCCAACCCACGGAGCGTCTCCAGCCTCTCCAACCGCTCCTCCCCTTTGTCCTGGCGCTACGGGCAGTCCAGCCCACGCCTGCAGGCCGGGGACGCGCCATCGGTTGGGGGGACCTGCCGCTCCGAGGGCACCCCGAGCTGGTACATGCACGGGGAGCGAGCGCACTACTCGCACACCATGCCCATGCGCAGCCCCAGCAAGCTGAGCCACATCTCCCGCCTGGAGCTGGTCGAGGCGCTGGACACCGATGACGTGGAGCTGAAGTCGGGGTACATGAGTGACAGTGATCTGATGGGGAAGACGCTGACGGAGGATGATGACATCACCACGGGGTACGTGCCCGTGCGGGGACTCGTGCCCGGACTGGGGCTCTCCAGGAGGTTTCACCCGCTCCTGTCGGGCTGGCAGTGGGGGAACACTTGGCACAGCGGGGATGGATGGAGTGGTACATAGGTTACAGCCAGTCTGGTTAGGATTGGATCATGTCCCCACATCTCAGGAGATGCTTCCCTGCCAGCAGTGCTGGTGGTGCTGGGCCAGCTGGGTCTTCTTGGGGCTTATGGGCTCCTGAGCCAGAATGAGCTGCTCTCCCAGCATGTGGGAAGTGTCCAGCTTGATCTGGCTGTTCTGCAGCAGGGAGCTGAGAAAAGTGCATGGTCTGTAGGTGCAGAAGCCCTGAGCCAGAGTCCTGCTGGGGTGAATGCTGCTGCTTTCAGAAGTGCTTTTCAGTTTACACCAGTCAGTCTGAGTGGCTTCCTGTGACCAGGCACTGTGGGGACGTCCTGTGGGAGTCCTGGTGGTCCATGGTGGGACAGGCTGCTCAGATCTCAGCATCCCAGTGAGAACTGGGCATCAAGGTGTCATTGCTGATGGATGACTCCACATGGAGCAGGCTGTGCTGCTGAGCAGGGTCCCTCCTTATGGGACCCCCATCAGCCTCCATCCCTCCACCCATGGGGCCAGGGGCATTCTTGCCAGATGGGCACAACCCAGCACTCCCAGGGCTCACATTTTCTTGCCAGATGTGTCCAGCTCTTGCTGCACTGTTGAGATGCTCCTGACTCTGGCAGGGGTCCAGGCTTTGAATATGTTGGAGGTTTCCTGTTTCGGCACAGGAGAAAATAACTAACTTGGGCGTTTGAGCTGTTCCAGAGCCCTATGAGGTATTTGGACTCCTGACAGTACTGCTTTGGCCCTCCTGGGGTAACTGTAGTCACGTCACTGGTGCAGTATAGAGCCTGTGGCTTCACACCCATCCTGGGGCCAGTGCTACCCAGATATGGCCTGTAGGCACATGTTGCAGTTGCAGGGGACACACCATTGGCTATCTGCTGGTTTCTACCCTTGCCATACTCCAGCTGTGGGCTTGAGAGTGTCTGCAGCACAGTAGGTGTCAGACCCATCCTCCCCATGGGCATGTGAGCTTGGGGACTGGCCTGTGCTTGTGAGTGAAGGAGCCTTGTGCTGGTTGAACACGGACTCTCCTGTAGATCTTAACCTATTGCATGGCAGCCAGAGGTCCCATATCACCATGTTCTTCCACTGGCCACTGGACTGTGAAGTGTGATTGGCAGTGGGGGGGATTTGGGCTGCCCTGGATGGCCGATGTTGCAGCAGGGCTGGCTGTGGGGATGCAGGGTACACCACTCCCCATCTCCCTCCTTGTCTCATCTTGGTACTGCTCATGCAGGCAGATAACCTTGGGATGCCCTTGGCTTCGGAGGCAGAGCTGAGAGAAGTGACTGGAGCAACATTTTGTCTCCATCAACCACTGAGCAGGGGGAGTGTGGGCATTGTCAGGGACCCACGACAGCTCAGCCCTGCACTGCTATGGGCAGGATTTACTTCTTCAGGAAGGTACAAACTTTGGGGATGGATCCCTGCATGGCGGAGCCTCTGCCAGGTGCTGGCAGCACCACAATCCCCCTGTGTGGGTGAGGCTATGAGTGCTGCGGTGAGCTTAGTCCTGTTCCTGTTCAGAGTCCCCAGCATGATGCCCTGGATGTGCCCAGAGTTCTCTCCATGTCAGAGACAGACTGGGTGCTCTGTGCTCGGTACCCTCTCCAAGGAGGGGTGCAGGAGTGTGCCAGGGCAGCACAGGACTTCTTATCCGGGCATATCCTGGGAATCAGCCATTTCACCAGAGTCGTTGTGGGCACGGGGACACGTAGTGGCCTACACAGATTCACACCTTCATCCCTCATGGCCCCACAGCAAGGCTTGGGAGGGTCTCCCAGACTGGGCAGCATGGCAGGATCTCTGTCCCAGAGCATGCTGGGGTCCCAGAGCTGAATGCACGGGTACACTGAGGTGCCCTGTCCAGGAACCTGCACACTCTGGATGCAGAGCCCAGCATCCCCTCCTACTGAGAGTCAGATGAAACAAGGAGCTGGCCAGGAGCACTCATTTAACACAGCCCCTCATCCAGACCCCACTCATCCAGCACATCCCCTCACCCAGCACAGCCCCTCACCCAGCGCATCCCCTCACCCAGCGCATCCCCTCACCCAGCACAGCCCCTCACCCAGT